GAGGTCAGGTATGTGATACAGGGAGGTGCTGATACTGAGGAGGTCAGGTGTGTGATACAGGGAGGTGCTGATACTGAGGAGGTCAGGTGTGTGATACAGGGAGGTGCTGATACTGAGGAGGTCACTACTCAGTACTGTGTTTCCAGCTCCATCATTGACTGACTTGGGAGTATCTCACTTGTGAGGCTGTGAGGCATGAAAACAGCCCATGTTCCCCTCATGAAAATTAATCACCACCAGCAGCTGGTCACAAATTCCTGATCAGCAAAAGTGCAGTGCGCTACATTTATTTAGCCAAAGCTTTTATCCAAAGTGACTTACGATTGAAAAAGCAAGGTCACAGTCCTTTGGGCCCAATGGTGTCATCACTCTGCAGTGGGGATTTCAACCAGTGACCTTCTGATCACAGGCCCAGTGTCCTAAACCACAGCCACACAGTATAACTGCATGCATTGTGTGGTGTAACAATGAGACATGGTGATATGCACTGTGGGGTGTAACAATGCACTGTGGTACAAAATCATTTTATGTCAACACAAGAGGATGCGACATAATCTCAGTTTTATTTGAGGTTTTAGTTTTGCATTCTGCAGAACAAGGAAAAAACTGTAAGAAAACAGCTTTTTTGTAAATGCATTTTTTAGGCATGTACATTTATAAAAAGGCTAATAATTATGATATCTTAGTTTTTCCAGTCTTGTTTTGTTGAGTATTTTCTAAGTATATCAAACCATGAGCCCCAAATTGTATATGGAACCGAACCGTGAGTAGACTGTCATTACATCCCTAGTTCTCACATGCCTTTGGCTTTAGGTGAAGTTCAATAATCCGGAAGTAAATTGCACTGCATAAAATAACTAGCAGCTTGGATCCACCTGCCACACAAGCTGGAACAGACTCAGAATAAATATCACAAGCAATAGAGCATTTGGTTAACAAGATATAACCACACGCTACAGGTACCTCTCTGTGTTCAACATTTACCATGAGTAGAGAGACCAATGTAGCCCGGAGCCCACGCTCTCCAACCGGTCGTCCCTGATACTGCCTGCTGGTCAGCACCGGCCAGCCCACTAGGGCACATATGTGGCAGTCTAGGGTGCCAACTTAGCCAGAATGCAGTGCGAAAAATGAGCTTTTCATAAATGCTCAAAAAAAGCTCCCACACACATCTATACTCAAAATCCTTTAATAATAATACTCAATAAATAATGATTTCAAGCTTATAAAATTCTTTGTCGCTTGTCATGTCGACACGTTCCTGACAGACAAACAGCTAAGGTCACAGTTGTGTTACAGGTAAAGGCATCATTTAAGAACATAACCTAAAAAAACTGGTTCCTGTTCTTTCATTGGATTATTCTAACACTGCAAGGTGTCAATAAGGTGTCAAAAAATACACATTATGAAACAGATACTGGATGCCAGGATGCAGGCTGTCTTGTTTTAAAAAGTCTTAAAATGACATTTAGTGTAATATTAAGACCTGGTGAACATGAACTATATCACGCTCATCTGTACTTCTGTGACGTGCAGTTCCTCTTAGCACCTGAAGGGGGCAGTCCTCCCCACCTGTAGATCTCGGCGGGACGCTGCATCCCCGAGCTCCAGCACTCGCCGCTCAGCCTCTGCACTCCTCTGCTCTGCTCTGCTATGGCTCTCAGTCTCCTTGGAGCTTCCGCATGACGAGGCTGTGAGGGGGGGCATTGGTGAATAGCGCCCCCACCAGCTCGTGCCTCCCCAGGATGGCCTGGCGAATGACCTTGCAGCTGCCCAGGTCCTCGATGCGAATGCCCAGGCCATGGTGTTTTTCAGCGGGATCCACGGGGACACCGCCCGCGTACGACCCAAAGAACTGGGGAGGCGCAAAAAACAAGCACAATACAAAAGTCTGAAATGAGGAAAAAATCACCACCAGAGGGACCCTGACACTGTCACATGGTGAAAGGACAGCCCTGCCCCAAGCGTGGCCATCAGAGATATACACAGGAAGTTAAAATGTCTGCTAATGCATATTCACTATGTAAAAGTGCGCGGGCCACACTAATTTATAAACAACAAATGCGCAGCTACTTACAGCCAATCCAGAGACAGGGTCGATGAAGTCGGCCCAGAATCCCGCTGTGCGGAGGGCGTAGCAGATCTCTTTAGCACCGCTGACGAACTGCAAGGAGAGAGAGTGACAATGCAGTCCCTAACGAAGACGCGTCAAACACTGACCCTGTCACCTAACTGCTAACCCGTGTCGGGGCGACGATTTCAAAGCTCAGCAGCCACCTGTCAAAAACCCTAAAACCAGGTTTAACTAACTCGCAGCTAACAGGTCTGTCTGTTCTCAAGTGCCTCCGTCACAGTGTCTGCGCACACCGCCGGGATCAGCGCACAGCCTAGCTATGCCGACAGCCAGGCAGGAGTAAACGATCAGTGTCACCCAGCTAGCAACACAGCATGAGGCTGTGTCCACAGTGCCAACAGCTTCCTGGTGGAAAACCTACAGCTCACACCAGCCAACCCTTACCATGCTTGAGCAAGTTTGACCACCAAAGTCCAGTTGGTTTGATTAGCGTGATCACCCCATACCATGCCCTGGCCCACTTGAATTTGTTATATGGATTTCGAGAGGGTCTTACGCTGATGGAGTAAAAAATAAAAAAAAATAAAATGCAACACGCAAAACAGTACATTTCTTTCATGATCAAACTCATCACCATTACTCTCCATCGTAAAAAAAAAATAAACATAAAACACCTTTCCGCTCAGCAAATTATGCTAGATTAACTAACAGCGTAGTTATAGTGTAGTGTAGGTACAGATGCTAATCTGATGTTAACATAATATAGCAAAGAGGCTACAAGATCCCTTACAAAGTACTCCGACTTGAAGTTGGGGAGATTAAGCTATCTGACATTTCAATATCCAATATAGCACGATTAGCAATGTCTATACAGGTAGCATTAGCAATGTCTATACAGGTAATTCTTGACTTTACAAGATCGTTTGTTCCAAATTATCACTCGTTAATCAAGAATTTGTTCTATTTTCCCATGGAAATGTTATAAAAATTATGACTTTGGTTCCAGCCAAAAAATTATGTATTTCTACCAAACAAATGAACACAAACGTATTATTAGAATTAACATTTAATCAAAAATATAATCACATTTAAACAAATTTCACAAAACAAAGCTTTTGGCAGCACACTTCATGTGCAATCTTTGGTATACATTATGAAAAATTTAATTTCATTTTTTTGCCACAGGAAAGATATAAATTTGTAAATCAGGAGCCCAGAAAGTGAGAACTACCTGTAATGGTGTAATTAAGTACCGGTACTTAAAAAATGTAATCTGAAAGCTTTCAGCACTGGTATCTCATGCAGCACTAGTCTGCAAAAACACAGATATCTGGTATGAGGTGGGCTCACTTTTTTCATGCAGTGTGAATTTGAGAGTCGAATTTTAAATTCGGGACAGCGTGAGCTGGGACTTTGCCATCAAGCCCATTTGACATCCCTCTGCTGCCCCCTGGAGGATGGGCTCCCCCCTTGGATTCTGGTTCCTCCCAAGGTTTCTTCCTTCTAGGGAGTTTTTCCTTGCCACTGTCACCTCCGGCTTGCTCATTGGGGGATTTGGGCAGGGATAATGTATAGCGCTTTGAGACAATATAATGTTGTGAAAATGCTCTATACAAATAAAACTGATTGAATAAATAAAAATTGCTGTGCTGCATACATGATAAATCTGTGAACATTGTGAAGTCCATTCTGCAAAAGTGTTTTCATTAATATGTTTTCTTCAACAAAAAAAAGTCACACAGTGATGACAAAAGCGTGCTCAGACCAGGAGCGTTAAGGTCAATGTGAGCGCAGACCGGCGGGGGAGTGGGGGCAGTCGTGTTCGGGCATGGTACAAAAAACAGAAACAAAAGTGATTATTTTCACTGTTCCCCTGAGATCTGAGCTGCCATCTCACCTGCGGTAAGGTGTTAAAAGTGGCTTTTTTTAAATCCATTCGTTAGCGCAGAGAAACTTTACTCACTTTACTAAGCAGCTCCTCTCGTTCTCTAGTCACCTCCTCGCACCCCAAGGTCATGTCGTGCTGTGTTTTCTGCGTCACTGTGACGACCATCATGCCACTGACTGGTGCCTCTGGAAACATGGACTCGAAATCTGGGGAGAGAAACAGACGTACGGTGAAGGGCAGCAGATCCCGACACTCAGCAGCCTGCCTCAGGCCCTCCCTGCTGTGACTCTGCCATGACCGTTTTGGGCTGCCTATCAATTAGAGGACATATGTAAAATTGCAGTTTAGAATTTTTAGCTTCAATATAAACTGTGGATTTTGAACTTTGTACAGGGATTGATGAAACACAACAGATGAAGGTTAAAGGAAAATGCGCCTACAGACTCATTTAAGACTTGGTGCTGGTGCCCCCAGAAAGGAGGGTGGGTACCTTGTTTGAGCAGCTCAGGGCAGGGCTGAATGGCACACTCCACATTAGAGTCCTCAAAATACAGCTCTGCCTTACTGACTCTCTCTGGAAAAGGCGATTCTTTTCCCTGAGGAAGCTGTAGAGCAAAGTGAAAATAATAAAGAAATGTGCATTCAGCTGCTCATTACAGTAATGATTCATTAGCATGCAAGCAGTCTACAGAATTGTGAAGTTTGACCGAGTGCCTTGTGACAAAAAAAAAAAAAAACACTTTTATTTTCATTTTCCTTTATTTTTTCAATAATGCCAGCATGCCCGGGAGGGTGGGCAGCCAGTCGACCTTTGACCCCGAGAGGTTTTGTTTTCCTCTCTGTTATCATCTGGCTTCCTTTCTTTCTGCCATTACTTCGTCATTCCTTCCCCCTGTTTTTGTATTGTTCTGTCTTAAAAATGTTGTAATGTATCACAGCACATCCATGAAAACCTCCTTAGGATGACTATTGTGAAAGGCGCTATATAACAAAAATATAAACAGAAAAAAAAAAAATTCTCCCTAAAAACTGATAAAATGTTGCGATATTTTCCAACAAGAAAAAAAATTACTGCATGTTACAGAAACATAACACCAAAACATCAACATAATTACAGTAAGAAAAGTATGTCTACTGCGCACTGCTGTGCTGACAGATTTAGCACACGACCTTCGTGGGATACGTTTTGAAACAGTGGCCAACACATAGTCTATTATTTCAGTCGAGAGAGTTGAAGAGCATTTCTTTGTGCACTTTTTATTCGATCCACTAGATGGCAGCAGAATTCTGCCCCAAGCATCATTCAGAGTTAACTGCAGTACTGCTGTCAAATCACACATAGTTAACACCAAGGAGGATAAAAAAACACAACTAAAAAGAAGTGGTAATTAAAATTAGCTGTATATGACAGTTATAAGTAGCAGAACAGGTATGTGAGGGTATAGGCAGACAGGTGGTACCTGGAACTCGGTGATAAACTGCGCCAGTATGAACTCGTGCCTCTCACTGCTGGAGGGCGCAGATAGCACGTCGGGGGCCATCACATAAGCGGGGCCTCTCTGGGGGCCTCGGGCGCCCTCCAGGTGGCAGGCAAAGCCTACGTTTCCAGGTAGCTGGAAACGCTGGTCACGGGGCCCAAAGGGGCCCATATTCTCATCAGGCCACACGGTCTGGGACTCTGAGAGAAACACAAATCAATTTAGGGGAAAGACACCACCAGTCCATTTTAAAAAAACACCAAATTAATATGCAGGACACATTAATATGTCAGAGTACCAGTAGCATTAGGGCCGCTGTGTCGCTCAGTGGTTTAGGGATTTGTGCTCATGTCCAGAAGGTTGTGGGTTTAAATCCCATAGATGGCAGCATAATCATATCACTACTGTCCCCTTTAACCAGGCCTAACCACACATTCTCCAGGGACACTAGCTGCTCTCCATCTCCAAACTTTCCTCACTATGTCATTTACATTTTATTCAAAATAAACAGATATGGAAAAAAACAGGTTCCACACATCAGAAGTGTGACCTGCAGGAACCATGTACAGGACCCACCAGTGGAGAAAGCCCTGGTCGCTGCCACCCGGCACAAAAGGTCACGGATACCAGGGAGGCGTGACACCAATACGGCTCTGCTACAGAGTGCCTGCAAAGCAAAGCAAGGCATACGATTAACACGAAAAAGCAGAAAGCAACAGTGTCCGTCCTCCACTGTTGTACTCACACTGGTCATCCTCAGCGGCCTCCCAAAGCCTCCGACCACCTAAAAATTCAGAAGAGCACCGTTAGCTATACAACTTTCAAACTCTTTTCTGTAATTACCACATTACATATACATTTCATTTATTCAGCAAACTCTTATCAAACGCGCATGTGCAATTGAAGAAGGCAGAGTCACTCAGTCCCCGGAGCCAATGGGGCTTAATGGCCCTGTTCATGGGCCCAACGGTGACATCACTCATTTTACGTTCCTTTTCAAACTACAATATTGACTGCAGACACCGAAAGTACTACATTTACCAGGATCGCTTTCATACCGATGGAAAAGCAGTTCAAACCATGAGAAGCACCCGGTAGTTAGAGGTGAAGGACGTCAACTTAAGATAAACTTCCTTACGCAATGGAAATTCTTAAGCAAAATAGTAGTACTAACGAAGAACAACAAATCAACTGCTTCTTGAGTTTTTCTGTGACAATCGAAAGCAGACTATTTATTTTGTGAGTCAATCAGTAAAGCATGTCGATCACGTTGTAAAGGATTCCTTATTAACAACTTGAAAATGATCAGAAGCTAGAAGCAGTAGCTTCTCTACACCAAAGAGCACTAATTAACGCATTGCCGGTAAATACTACTATATAAATATTTTATATACAGCAGCACTATATTATTGTTTAGTATATGACCTAATCCCGGTGATGTTATTACTGGAAATGACATCCAGCCCCCGTAACAAGCCCCACAAGTTATTATGCCTCACCATTTCCTAACAAACACTACCAATGTACCGTTACCTACAGGCAGAAAAAAAGTGGAAACTCCAGAAGCAAGTATTCGGTGAAAAAGAGGCGCTTATTTACAAGTCTCTTCTTTCATAAACACCTTATCTGATGTACTAGCATGTACATTAGATAAGGTGCATGCTAGCAGACTACTTTCTGAGAAACACAATGCAGCTTGTCCCTTGTGATTTTCCCTCATTCGTTCTGCGCAGAACTGCTATCGGCCATTTCTTCTGAGAAATTGGATTTATAAGTCAAATCAAATATTTGAATTTGTACGGTACCTGTGTTTTTGAGTCCTACTAAACACTCTCAACAACTCTCCTTCCGCGTTCTGACACATGCGCACGATACTGGTCACGTATCGACGGTGTCCGGGATGGACAAACATATCCGACATATCAGACGAAACTGAAGGCGTGGATCAGGAATACCGAAGAAGTAGAATCGGCTGTATTTAAAAGCGCATGTATGGGCTTTATTATCAGTCAATCAACTTAATATCAACATGCAACATTATTAAAGTCAAATATGAAATAAACTTTCGTATAAACCCGATTTTTAAGTTCAGTGCAGTTTCATAATTTATGTATAGTGCATATAATAGTTTATTGCATGCTGAAGAAACAACTCGTACTTTAGGATCTGTGCGCTAAAGAAGAAATTAAGTTAATTAAAATATCAGACTATAACCTGCATTGAAATGCAAGGTGGTCATCTGCGCCATAATGATGAAAAAAATAAAGACACTGAAGGAAGAAAGTAGTAATCTCACATAGCACACATTTGTTGAAATTACATTGTTTCCATATCAGGCAAAAAAGGTTGAAACAACGTTGATTCAACATTGAATCAAGGTTTTGCCACCATCAATTTTTCAATATTGAAAATCTGACCAAAAATCAATTCAGTTTTAACGTTGATAATTTAACACTGACCATAATTCAACGCATTTAACTATAATTCAACGTTGAAACAATAACATGATGCTATCTGGCAAATGTGTCAAATAAAGTGCGAGGTGCGTAAATAAGGAAATAATATAGCCTACATTAGAGCTGTTAATTAAACATTAAGCAGACTAATGGGGGTAGAAGCTCCCAATTCTCACCCTCTTCAGTTCACACTGCGAGACAGCAGATCGATGCGCTTTAAAGACCTCTGAATGGAATGCGTCCCTACTAGAAAAAGGTTTTGTAATTGGTGTTTATCTGTTCATAAGCTGAAAATGCAAACAAGGGCCTTCAGACAGAGAGGAGTTAGCTGAGAAGACCAGTTACAGGCATGTTCCACCTGCTGGAGGTTAGGCGGGCAGGACCTGCAGGACCTGCAGGGTTGATTAAGTGGCTTGGGAACATCCAGGGATCAGAAAAGTCAGAAAAGGGGTACTAGTTTGTACATTTGCTTGTCACTGGGGCTGTACCCTCAAGCAGGCCCGCAGTGGCTAATCGGGAGGACCGGGACAATTCCCGGTTGGCCGGTCTGATGTTTGGGCCGCAAGGGCCGGTTTTCTCTTTTCTTTTGCTGTTTTTTTGGGCCGGTGTTCTCATTTTTTTTGGCCGGTGTTCAGTCATGGCACTGGGTTTATCACGTATGATGCTACCGCTGTCCCTGGGACGCCTCCGCCTCCACTGGCAAAAAACTCGTTTTTTTTTTCAGACGCACCCTGGCGTAACACGTCAGTGCACTCGGTCAGTGGTGTTTGTAAGATGGAAAGCAGAAAGAGCAAGGGTGGTGCGAAGGCTAGAATTAAAAAAAAGGAAAGCTCTGGAAACGCAGCTAAATGTGCAAAAATTGCCAACTTTTTCAATAAAACGAGCTCGCGGTTTGTAACATCAAATGAGGACGATGAAACGGGTAAGGCAAGCCTGGCAAGATGTTGAACTTTGCCTGCAAACCACCGTTCAAGTTAATGAATTATCAAGTCAATGAATTGTGTGGCTTATAACATAATGTTATATACAGTAGTTTAAATAATACAGTAAAATTCCGTTATAGTGGACTCGCTTATTACGGAATATCGTCTATAACGGACGAGGTCTGCTAGTCCCGGTGTCCTGTTACAAAAAACTACCTATCGAGACGTGCTATCGAGCCTTTCTGCGCATGTGCAGTTCCACCGTTTTGGGATTAAGGTTAGGTTTTAGGGGTTAGGGTTAAGGTAAGGGTTTTAGGGGTTTTGGGGGGTTAGGGTAAGAGTTAGGGTTAGGGCCATCGATTAGCACTACGGTAGCATTTTTCGACAAGGCAGCATATATCGACAGAACACCCCGAACCATAGTAACCAGTTCACTCTGCAAGCAAAGCAAACGATTCGAATACATATCGAACGCTAGATCCCACCATTCAATTTTCATGTGTGACAGAATTAATGATATCATGGTGCGCGATATATCACTAATAACGAAATACATAAATTACACTACAAATAACAGGGCTGCCAACTCTCACGCATCTGGCGTGACAGTCACGCTTTCGGACTCTCACGCTCGCGCAAGAAATCTTACGGCAAATTTATATTATTACATTATAAACCTAAAATTAGCTGCATCAAAAACGGTGGGGTAGTTCGCAAACCCTACAGACTATTTACAAGGTAATAAAACTGTCACATAGGTGTAAATGCGTGTGCGGACTTGTCTGAAATCGAAAATCTCACGCCAGCCGGCTGACAAAAGTTGACAGCCCTGAAATAATTAAATACGATTAATTATTAATTATTTCAGAATATAATCCAAGTTAAAGTTGATCAATTGACATTAAATCATATAAATATTTTTTTCGCAGTTAATATTTCATATTTGATATTTCTTTTACCTTTTTTACATTTTGTTCCATATTGTTTTAGCAAATCTGGCAAATAAATAAATCCCTTCAAAGTTTTTCTGGCAAATTTTGAAATCTATGCCTACTGTTACACCTGAACTGATGTGTACACCAAACCACAATTTAACGTGTGATATTATAGTTTCTTGCACGTCCATGATTAAGTAGAATACATTACACAATGCATTTTTACTAAAGGAAACTATGTGACATTAACAGGAAAAGTGGCGTGGTTTATTGAATTAAATTATAATGTGGACATTTTAGATCTATGTAATAGGCCTGCGCCATAAAATAGATTTTATTTGATTTTGACAATTTTGCATCAAATGAATTATCTGTTTCGCGATAGGTAAAGTTTGACCCGTTTAGAATGGAACCAATAATATTATCCTGTACCAAATTGAGGGGCGTCACCTATTCTGTAGGCAACAGTTAAACTTTGCTGATACACTACAAACTGAACAGAAGAACAGTTGTAATGGATCCCACCGTCTTTAATAATATTGTTGCCTATAAGAGGCACAACAAATATCCGGAGGGCTTTTCAAAGGCCGAAAATATGGAGCTAAGACGTAAAGCTTCAGGCTTTATTTTTGATGGTGAGTTCAAGTGATATCGACGTATCATCTTGTACATGATTAACATGGTGTTAGCTAATGAAAAAAAACGCAGTACATTAATTGGTATAGCCATACGAACACTGACATGAATTGGCAAACCGTGTATTTCATTGCCAGTAGTACTAATGTTGGATGCCACTTTCCCATGTTTTACTACTTTTTTTGGGTGTTTTTCCATCGTGCTTGCTTTACTACAATTAACAGTAAGAGAGCCCCTTCTGTAATGGTTGCACATGTAATTCCTTCAATTTGATCAATTTCATTTGAAAGCAGATAAAATATGGGATCCTAATAACATATAAACTGTTTTTTTAATCTTCATCAGTCGGTACTGAATATTACACAAATGTTGATGGAATCATGTATTAATTTTAAAACAGGAGATGTGTTGTACAAGGTCAGTGGAACCAAAGGAGAAAACAAAGTCAAAGTGGTTTGTGGAGCTGAAGAGGCCAATTTGATTTTCACTGAATTCCACTCCAGTGCTGTGGGAGCTCACACAGGCCAGAAAAAAACCAGGGATGCAATTGCTAAAAGGTTTTTTTGGCCTGGTATGACTGCTGACATCAACAAATGGTTGTTACAACAAATGTATCAGTCATTCATAAAACATTGCATTCATACAATTTAAAATATAATTGACTTGTTGTGTAGGCCAGAAGCAAAACAGCTAAAACTTTGAAGTGTTAAATGAGTGTCACATAATAACTGTTATTTTTAAGGACACACACCCGTTTGAATTGGTGGGAATGGACCTAATAGGGCCATTGACAGTCACCAAAAGGGGGAATAAGTACATCTGCGTTATGGTGGACTGCTTGACCAAATGGCCACAAGCTTACCCCTTAACCTCAAAGCGGGCAGAAGAAGTAGCAGAGTGCATCCTCCGATTCTTCTATCAGTTTGAGGCTCCAAAAAGAATCCTCACCGATCAGGGGAAAGAATTTGTTAATTCGGTAAGTATATATATGTAAATAATAGAAAATTATAGAGCTGGTCCGCTGTTCCACGGCCGGGGCGAAAACCACACTGCTCCTCCTGAATCCGAGGTTCGACTATCCTACGGACCCTCCTCTCCAGCACCCCCGAATCGACCTTACCAGGGAGGCTGAGGAGTGTGATCCCCCTATAGTTGGAACACACCCTCCGGTCCCCCTTCTTGAAGATGGGGACCACTACCCCGGTCTGCCAATCCCGAGGCACCGCCCCCGATGTCCACACGATGCCACAGATGCGTGTCAACCAAGGTCAGCAGCGTACCATCCCCACCATAAACAGTGTTGATGCTGCACCGCTTTCCCGCCCTGAGACCCCGGATGGTGGACTAGAATCTCCTCGAAGCCGTCCGGAAGTCATTCTCCATGGCCTCACCAAACTCCTCTCATACCCGAGTTTTTGTCTCAGCAACT